GTCTGCTTGGGCATCCCCCAGAACAAGCACCAGCTTGCTTCTATAGTTCTCCTTAACTGAGCTCTTTCAGCCTTTATGGGAATCAGAGGCTCATCAAACTGTCACCTGACTCCTTCCCAGCTGGGTCTGATAACACCTCTACGAGGCCCAAACACCTGTTGTTAAAGAGCCTCTGGCCCCAGATGCTCTGACCTTTGAAGGAGCAAACCATCCTGTTACACAGGACTTTGTTTTAAAGTGAGCCCAATAACTCAGGACAGAATCTTCCTAGGAAACAGCCAGATTGAACAAAATCATTAAGGAGGAGTTAGGACAAACAGGTAATCTCAGAAATATATAATTCTATGTATAGGACACAGAATGAGTTTATAGAAGTTGGATTCTAGCTAGATATGAAAGCCAAAAAGAGAAACAGTAGAACATTGCACTGAAATAAACCATGGAAATAATGACATCAGCTCCCAACATCCAAGAGATGTACTTCATTCAGACCCAATAGTTGGAGGTAATCGGAAGGGATGCTCTTCTGCATCAACATCCACAGCTCCTGGCTGAATGGGCAAAAAGCTTTCATAACTTGATGATATTTTTGATCAGGCAACTACCAGTCTGCATGTATCTAACCAAACTAACAGCAGATTGCCTAATAGAGTAGTACAGATGATGTAACAGCCTTTTTCAGTGGAGGCAGCAGACCCATTTATTTTAGATTAGTAGCTTAAATGTCCCTGTCCACGACCACATTGATGTCTATAAGCCAAGGGACAGTGAGGTTTAATGTATATGAGCGAGTGCTGATGCTGAAATTGTAGATAAGTTGGTCATGCACCAAAACTAACCATGTCCCCCAGGTGAAGGCCATCTATGATGCAGGCCAATAAATTGCTACCCTCTTGAAAGCCCCCTGAAGCATACTGTGCCCTATAATCCTTCCTAAAGGAGGAGCCCTCTGATTCAACCATCATTCCTTCCTGCAGAGCCATAAAAAAGCTATACAAAAGAGGGGAAGGAACAGATGCAGTCTGACAGCAAATGTGAGATAAGGAAGGAGCATCTCAGCAAAGACACCATAGATGTTGAGGCATAAGAACACAAGTCTGAAGTCCAAAAGCATGCTGAAATTAATCATTCAAATATCCATCTCCAGTTTTGTTTTGTTCATTTTTTTTAATGTGAACATTTTTTATTAAATTTATTTATGGGTTATTTATTTGTTTGGCTTTTATTGGAGCTGGGAGAGGAGAAAGGAAGGATGTGAACAGCCACACAAAACATAAGGTTGTTGTGGGGGGAGGAAGGCTAAAGTAGACAGAATAATATGGGAATTGCCACGCAGGCTAATTCAGTGTTGATCCTTCATTGTTAGTAAATGTGCATGGGGGGTAGGGGGAATTAAAGTCTCAAATCTAGCAGCTAGATGGCACCAGCGGAGACCAGCCCCAAGCCATGTTGCCAGTTCTTGAGCCAAAAGAGACAGTTGAAAATGCAATGTTGAGCTTGATAGTCTCCCACCATTACCCCAGTAATCTTCACCCTATCCCACACAACAAATAGATGAAACAGAAGGACATGAGTATCTGTATGCCCTGGTACTTATATGAGTTCTGCATCAACTGATGACTGACACACATACACCCAATCTTGGGATACTCCATAATTTGTGGACCAGGGGGCATAGTGACCAGGTCAGGGGCCCTATCAAAAATGAACACGGTCATGCTCCTTAAGTCCCATTCCTATTTCCTTCATACAGTATGGGAAAATGGACCTCTAATCTGAGCTCTCTCTCAGAAAGGAAGAAGTATGTAAAGCCTATCCATTGTGACTGTGGCAATGGCCATGAACCACTTTTGTCAATGCCAAATCGCTTGCACCTCAGCTCTAGGACTATGCTGGCCTTGCTGTATGCTTTAGTCTTGCTTTTAGAATAACTGTCCAACACCCTTCCCCCTGGTGACAAGAAAGAAAATTAGTAATGTTGTTACTAATGCCTATAATATGCATATCCCTAAGAGTGCAAGTTTGATGAAGTTGGGACATATATTGCTTTTGGGTATTTGTTGGATGAGGAAGTGAAAGCCTTATGGTGTGTTGGAGTCCACTATCAACTGTGTTGTAGGCAATGAAGGTGGCAGAGCATACAAGAGACTTCTACCGTAACTTCTTATATCCATGCTTTTAAGGTTCTAAGTGGCTGGGGTGTGCCCTTAATTGCTACTAAACATTGTTTTGTTAGTTGATTTCCTAGGTTTTTTATATAGGCTTTAGGGTACCTCAGTGGATAGCTGCCAAGAAGCAGGGAGAAAGGGAGCTGCAGCTGCTTGGGAATTGGAAGGAGAAGCTGTGTTGCTAAAGCTGCCCCTGACTATGTTGACCCTCCTGAAGGGTGTGAGAGGCTATGATATGCCTGGAGCATGCTTCTCAACCTTCAAACCTGCCAATATGTGACAACCACCATCGTGATTGACACCAGGGCTGAACTCCAGAGCTAAAAACATGAACGGTTACAGTTTATGCTGAAGAACTAGCCTCTGAAGTTCAGAGCTATCAGACTCAGAGCCTCGGGCATGGAGAGGCACACAACCCACACATTGACTAGTGCATCATACAAGCAAAATGTGTGACAAACAGCTGAAATGTGAAACGTATATTTTGTTGATTCCCACCATAATTTATAGATTGAATTTAAGTACAAAGTTAAAAGAAGTCTTTTCACTGTGTGAACCACACAGTGCCATCTGCCCGTATAAATCAGCAGCAGGCTTTGAACCCCTTGATCTTCAAATTGCTATCTTAGGCCAATTCAGTGGCTAATAATTGCTAGCCACTTTGTGGATTAGTCACTGAATGAGAACTTGACATGTGCTTTCTGAGTGGCTGACACAACTGTTTACTAGTCAGCAGTAGAATATTGGTGATCAGGAATCCTGGATTCTGTACTTGGCTCTGAAAAGTGTAGACCTGGCTTGACATGACTAATTGGACATGGGTGAGGCTTCATTTTTTGGGAGACAGGATTAGGATCAGTAGGCTGAAAGCAGGATGTCTGTACTAGCTAAAATAAGGGGGAACCCCAGGAAACCATTTATAATGGATAAAATAACTAACTAAAATGAGCCTGGAATATAAGATGAGGTAAAGAGTAAATCATGTATGGACAGTGTGTGCTGTACAGGGATTGTTTCCTACAAAGTCAATCCCAAAATATGTGATGCAATGTATAGTAAATGCAATATAATGTATAAATGTATATAAAGAAAGAGGTTTGCAGTGTAACTTTGGATGTGTGGTATGCCCTATACCAGGGGTAGGCAACCTATGGCACGCGTGCCAAAGGCGGCAAGCAAGCTGATTTTCAGTGGCACTCACACTGCCCGGGTCCTGGCCACCGGTCCGTGGGGCTCTGCAGTTTAATTTAATTTTAAATGAAGCTTCTTAAACATTTTAAAAACCTTATTTACTTTACATACAACAATAGTTTAGTTATATATTATAGACTTATAGAAAGAGACCTTCTAAAAACATTCAAATGTATGACTGGCACGCGAAACCTTAAATTAGAGTGAATAAATGAAGTCTCGGCACACCACTTCTGAAAGGTTGCCAACTCCTGCCCTATACCAACCCACTATGCTTGAGTGTGATCATCTCAGCATAGCTTTGCTGTATGCCAACTAAAAATATGAGTGACAGAATCTGAAGTTGAACTAAGTTCTAGGAAAGCCGAGTGGAAGGAGGTTTCAGAGGGAATCCCAACAAGAGGGGAGTGCAATTATAGTGGTTAGAAATTATAGTGGTTAATAACCAAAACTGGTTTAGTCAATCTGCTACAGTGAACAAACTGAGGGTGGGAGATCTGGGATTAGAATCCAGGTCTCCTGAGTTTCATTCCAGCACTCAGGGTCTTATAACAAGAAGTGCTCAGAAGCCTTAACAATAGGCATCACTACTTCCAATAAAGGTTTTTTCAGCAGCTCTTTGCTGGTTGTGACTTGCATGGAAATACAAAGAACAGTTAGCTTTAAACTCTTGGTCTCCTCCTTCCTAGTTCAGGGAATTATCCCCTTGGTTATAGAGGTATGCTAACTCACTCTCTTTCACTGCATTATTTGTGCTGTGGCTGCTATGTTGTCAAATTCAGCAGCTTCAGCTTGACACATACATTTTCCATTATGGCTAAAAAGCTATAAAACGCTCTCTAGTCAAGCACAGCTATGTATAACTGGTACTCTGGGAATCAGCACGTGAGGAGCAACAATGTGCACAAAGGACAGATCCCACAATCTGAGTATTTTAGATTCCTTGGAAAGGGCATACAAAGAAAAGTGAGACAATCCAGTTAAAAATTGCCAAAAGGGTTATTTTTGAGTTCTTACTTCTCTCTGTATCCAGGGCCAGCTCTAGGCACCAGCAAAATAAGCTGGTGCTTGGGGCGGCACATTTTTAGGGGCGGCATGGACGGCGCCAGAATGCCGCCCCTAAAAATGTGCCCCAGCCGCCCTAGCTCACCTCCGGTGCCGCTCGCGCGCCGCTGCCACTCGGAGTCTCCCCCTCCCTCCCAGGTTTGAGAGCCTGGGGGGAGGAGGCAGGGAAGGGGCGGAGTTGAGGCGGGGCCGGGGGTGGGGTAATTAAAAAACGGGGGAGGGGGGAGGGGGCGGCCAAAATTGTTTTTGCCTTGGGCGGCAAAAATCCTAGAGCCGGCCCTGTCTGTATCTAGTCCATTTTTCAATCAAACCATCATGAAAAATTCAAATAGTGCTCAAAGTTTACATTCTGTGTTTTAATTTTAGCCATGTTATTCATATTTTTACAGTTTAAAACTCCTTTTAACTGAAATCTGTAATGCAACCTTAACTATGGAGTCATGATCAGAAACTCTATAATAAATATACAAACAAGCTTACACATTAATGAACCAAGACCAGATGTTTTGAAATCATCCAATTACTAGAAAATGGTTTGCATAGATTGTAATAATACCTATATTTTTTCCATATTAGGAGGCTGAAACAATCTTCTTTAAAACCCTTCAATCAAACTTTCAGCATGTGCAAGTGTATGAGAACCAGTCTCTTCAGAAGAAAGCATTGGCTTCTATTCCAGTCCAAGCATTGAAAGAGAGAGCTCAAGAAAAGTTAGCACAAGCCAAAAAAGTGGATGAAGGTATTAGTTCTGACAATTTATGAGACACTAAAAATATTAGGTTAAACATTTGGGCATAATGTGCATGTTTATAGACTAGGATTGTCGTCATATTTTTGTGAGTTCAGAGTACTAGTTTTAAACTACACTAGTATTCAGAATGTATGTAGTATGCCATGTTATTCTATTAGTTTATCATCTTTGTCAAAAAAGAAAAGGGCTTGGAGAATTAATGCTAATTCTCAGTTTAGGTTTGTTTTCTCTGTTTACAATCATATTAGATGAAATTTTGAGGCTCACATTTCTTCTGTCCTTTAGATTAACCTGTTGAGTACCAGCACATCTTATGGATTCAAAATTCATGTGTGCACAGGGCTGAAGCAAAGTCTGTATTCTGTACAGATGGGGCTTTGAGAGGTTTCATAAATTCAGTTCAGCTGAACCATTTCTTAAATTTATTAACCCTCTGTCCTGTCTTCCATTCTCATCTGTCCTCTCCTCATCCTCTGTTCACTGATATCTTAAATTTTGTATTTTCTCTTCCTTTACATGCTTTTCTTTTATGTCCATCTGCTGTCCATCTGTTCATGGCTGGGGAAGGAGGTGGGATGAGAGAGCAAAGGAAATTTACAGTACTTGAATCCAGATTTCTGAACTAGCAGCAAATAGCATTGGAGGCAGCAGGATTCTGTACATATTGCTTAGCTGCTTGCATCTGGAGTTTAATGAAGATAATAAATGTTTGTTTTTAAGGAAAGGCAAAGCAATTTAAATCGTTGATTAAAATCACTGTTTATTTTTTTTAAATCATTGATTCAGGTCATCTTGAGACCGTGTAAAATTAATTTGAAAACTTGTTCTATTTTAACTTTACTTTAAAATGTATAATGAACTAAATTACAAATGCTGTTTCTTTTTAAAACACCACTTTTGGTAGTCTGTCTTTTCTAAATTTTATAGAAATACAATAGGCAAAAACCAAAATAATGGAAGTTAAGGCCTTGATCCTGAAAACAAGTATGTGACTTCATTCACATGAATAATCCTTTTGATTACATGCCTAAAGTGAAGCGCATGCATGTGTTTGCAGCATCAGAATCTAAAACTGTATTTTTAATAAAAACTACTCTTTGTGGCATAAAATCTTTGTCACTGCAAAACAAAACTGCTTCAGTTTTAACAGTGAAAAGTTAGACTTTCAAGATGTTAAGAAATTTATTTTGAATTTTTATGCACACAAGCCAAAAAATTCCAAAAAAAAAAAAGGAGTGTAAAATTAGCCTTCCATACCCAGATTTAGGCACCAAAAGGTGGGATTTTCAAAAGTACCATAGTGACTTATGTTCCTAAGTCCTATTGACTTCAAACTGTATACCCTGATGGAAGAGTATCAGAGAATTTCAGCTTTCTTTACTTGTGGAAGTTTAGTATATTACAAGGTTATGTTGGTTACAAATACATAGGGCCCTACCAAATTCATGGCCACGAAAAATGCATCACGGACTGTAAAATCTGGTCTCCCCCCCATGAAATCTGGTCTTTTGTGTGCTTTTATCCTATACTATAGATTTCACGGGGGAGACCAGTGTTTCTCATATAGGAGGTCCTGACCCAAAAGGGAGTTGCAGGGGGGGGTCACAGTATTGCCACCCTTACTTCTGCATTGCCTTCAGAGCAACCGGAGAGCGGCAGATGTTGGCCAGGCACCCAGCTCTGAAGGCAGCACTGCCAGCAGCAGTGCAGACGTAAGCGTGGCAATACCATACCATACCATGCCATCCTTACTTCTGCACTGCTGCTGGCGGCAGTTCTACCTTCAGAGCTGGGCTCGCGGCCAGCAGCCGCTGCTCTCCAGCTGCCCAGCTCTGAAGGCCGCAAAGCCACCAGCAGCAGTGCAGAAGTAAGGGTAGCAGTACCATAATCCCCCCTACATAACCTTGCGACCCTCCCCCCCACAACTCATTTTTGGGACCCCTAAAATTACACCATGAAATTTCAGATTTAAATCCTATGAGCGTGAAATTGATCAAAGTGGAGCGTGAATTTGGTATGGCCCTACAAATACAGGATGGGGTATTCGCTTATAAGTCTTATGTGTGAGATTGTGTTCTCATAATAATATTACTAAAATGTTTTCACTGAGCATTTAAAGTATGGAATTACCTAAAAGAAAGAAATCACTAAGTAAAATATGAAATTCTTCTAACAATTAGGAAACTAAAGAAATTACTACAAAACATCCGCTATAGCAATTTGAAACTAAAATGGAGGGAAAGAACTAACTAGTAACATGTAAACAATAAATATTATTTAACTTTAAACAGTTGATTTAAACCAAAAAATTGATGTTTTTGATATTTTTTTAAAATAATGATTTTTATCCACTCTGCTTTAAGGGGGATGGGGCTTGTATTCATGTGATCCCAGCTTCTACAGCTGAAGTGTCCAAAGCAGCACTCAAGGTTTCAGACCTTGCACCTTAAACTCAGGTGTAAAAGAATATGGGGAAAAAGTTGCCATTTGTTAGGCAATGACAACTTAAAAGCAGAGGTAGTGTGTTAACTTTAATTTTAAAAGCTGTATGGAAAGACAGACTCCATTGAGAATGGGCTGTATGGAAGGGAGTAGCTACTGTTGCTGAGAAATAATCTACCCTTCCTGTTTCCTTGTAAATCTGTCACTGTTGTATTAAGACAGCCACCTGGAGAAATTACCATTGCTGTCGGAGAACAGTTATTACAGGCAGATCCAAAAAACCTTTGGGATTTTGAAGAAGAAGTAAAAGTCATAGGCATTTTGGCTCATAAAGACTACTCTGATAAAGTTATGGTCATTTGAACAAGAGATTACAATGCTTGTCTTTATCCTCATTGGCCACCGGCATTAGCAATGTAAATTGACCAGAATTGTGCATACTTTTAACTTCTGTGATATCTGGGTATTTTCAAACAATCATTTCTTGTTGAAACAGATCATATTTGTCATTATTTTTATGCAGGATTTACTTTATGAACTCAGAGAACAATATTTATGTAATAGTAGCAATTTTCTTTCCATAGAGGGGCATCATTATATTCACCACTAACCAACAGAAAGAAAAATTGTCCTTCGATTGAAATTACCTCATTTAGTTTCTGGCAAACAGCTCAGAGAAAAGGTAGCAGTAAAATAGACTCAAAGCATATCCAGTATATAAGCAGTAGATGCTAATTCAGTTGAATCATTTATGGAACATTTTTAATTTGTATAATGCTAAAAAGGTCCAGTATCCTGTCTTCCATTAGTGGCCAGTGCCAGGTGCCCCAGAGGGGATGAACAGAACAGGTAATCATCAAGTGATCCATCCCTGTCACCCATTCCCAGCTTCTGGCAAACAGAGGTTAGGGACACCATCCCTGCCCATCCTGGCTAATAGCCACTGATGGACCTATCCTCCATGAATTTATCTAGTTCTTTTTTGAACCCTGTTATAGTCTTGGCCTTCACAACATCCTCTGGCAAGAAGTTCCACAGGTTGACTGTGCGTTGTGTGAAGAAATACTTCCTTTTGTTTGTTTTAAATCTGCTGCATATTAATTACATTTGGTGACCCCTAGTTCTCGTGTTATGAGAAGGAGTAAATAACACTTCCATATTTATTTCTCCACACCAGTCATGATTTTATAGACTTCTATCATATCTCCCCTTAGTCGTCTCTTTTCCAAGCTGAAAAGTCCCAATCTTATTAATCTCTCCTCATATGGAACTGTTCCATACCTCTAATCATTTTTGTTTCCCTTTTCTGAACCTTTTCCAATTTCAATATATCTTTTTGAGATGGGGCAACCACATCTGCATGCAGTATTCAGGATGTGGGTGTACCATGGATTCATATAGAGGCAATATGATATTTTCTGTCTTATTATCTATCCCTTTCTTAATGATTCATACAATCATAGAAGATTAGGGTTGGAAGAGACCTCAGGAGGTCATCTAGTCCAACCCCCTGCTCAAAGCAGGACCAACACCAACTAAATCATCCCAGCCAGGGCTTTGTCAAGCCGGGCCTTAAAAACCTCTAAGGATGGAGGTTCTGCCACCTCCATAGGTAACCCATTCCAGTGCTTCACCACCCTCCTAGTGAAATAGTTTTTCCTAATATCCAACCTAGACCTCCCCCACTGCAACTTGAGACCATTGCTCCTTGTTCTGTCATCTGCCACCCCTGAGAACAGCCGAGCTCCATCCTCTTTGGAACCCCCTTCAGGTAGTTGAAAGCAGCTATCAAATCCCCCCTCACTCTTCTCTTCTGCAGACTAAATAAGCACAGTTCCCTCAGCCTCTCCTCATAAGTCATGTGCTCCAACCCCCTAATCATTTTTGTTGCCCTCCGCTGGACTCTTTCCAATTTGTCCACCTCCTTTCTGTAGTGGGGGGCCCAAAACTGGACGCAATACTCCAGATGTGGCCTCACCAGTGCCGAATTGAGGGGAATAATCACTTCCCTTGATCTTCTGGCAATGCTCCTACTAATGCAGCCCAATATGCTGTTAGCCGTCTTGGCAACAAGGGCACACTGTTGACTCAGTGGCGTAGCCAGGTGGAGGGAAGAGGGGGAGTGGGGGGAAAAAAGGCGCCACCCGCTGCGGCGCTTTTACTGACGGGGCAGTGCTCCAGGTCTTTGGCGTCACCTCGGCGGCGGGACCTTCACTCGCTCCGCGGGTCTTCGGCGGCATTTCGGCGATGAAGCTTCAGTGCCACCGAAGACACCCGAAGCAAGTGAAGGTCCCGGAGCGCCGCCCCGTCAGTAAAAGCGCCGCAGCGGGTGGCGCCTTTTTTCCCCCCCGCTCCCGGGTGAGTAAAATTAAAAAGGCGCCACTTGTGCTCGGTGCGGGAGCGGCCGCTCCCCTGTTCCCCCCCCACCTACAGTACTGTGTTGACTCAGATCCGGCTTCTCATCCACTGTAATCCCCAGGTCCTTTTCTGCAGGACTGCCACTTAGCCAGTTGGTCCCCAACCTGCAGCAGTGCATGGGATTCTTC